TTTCCCGTTCCTTCCCCTTTCTCACACCCTGGGGCGCAACTGTCCTACCCAGGATGAAGTCCCACCTCCCTTCCGCCCAGGGCTTTCCTGGTGGTCTCCCATCCCCGCTCAAACTTCTCTGCTCACTGTCGCTGTTTCGGACCCCTCGTCAAGCCGTCCGGCTCGTTTATGGCGGGGTCTCCGGCAGGCAGCTCTCCCCCCCACCCCGGCCCCACAGGTGCGCCGCGTCAGTCTTCCCCACGGTCGGGGCTCCCCTGCCTCCTCCCCACCGTCGCCCCGTGTGAGTTCCAAAACATTCCCCTCCGCTACAAAAGCCGCGAAATTTTGGTTCCCGGGTCGTCAGGGGCCGCCCCTTCCGAGCATGCGCGAGCCGCGCGCGCAGGCTCAGTAGGAACCTGGTTCAGAAAGTACCTATTCGGGGCGGCGCGACAGGCGCAGCGCGACCTCTAGAGGGCGGCCTCGAGGACTTTGCCGGCTAGCGAACCCAGCTGTTTGCAGGATGATGATTGACTATGATTGTTAGATTTTTTTTTTAGCCTATCTTGGGTCACACTATGGAAAGAAATAGTGCGCTTTTTTCATTAGGCGGTGAATAAACGTGGTTCGAAAGCTGTTAAGTCCAAGCTGACTGGGGCAGGAATTGTTCATTTTTTTTTAAATTTCAATTTGCCTCCGAACTGTTAGCCATTGAGTTGGTTTATTTTATAAAATAAAATGAAAAATAAAATAAAAACTGATGGGTTCAGTCAACTGGCTGATCTCCTGCCCAAAGCCACAGGGTGATGCTCCAGTTTTTAAGCAGGATAAAAACAAAATAGCGAAGGCCTCCAGTCCAGAAAGAGACCCCTCACATCCCGGACATAAACTGTTTCAACTTCTTCCTCAAAACGACGTTATAGAGCACTGCACATCAGAACAACTAGACACAAGGACAGTTTTTCCCCAAACGCCATCACTCTGCTAAAGAAATAATTCCCTCAACACTGTCCAACTATTTACTAAGACTGTATCACTATTTTCTTCTCATCCTTCCTAGTACTTATCTCTTCCCACTTATGACTATAACCATGTTGCTTGTATCTCTACAATTTATAGTTCTATTTGTTTCCCAGTATGGTTTGATTGGTTATTAGTAACCTATGACTATCACTAAGTGTTGTATTTTATGATTCTTGATGAATGTATTTTCTTTTTCTTTTCTTTTTCTTTTATGTATACTGAGAACTTATACACCAAAGACAAATTCCTTGTGTGTCCAATCACACTTGGCCAATAAAGAATTCTATTCTATTCTATTCTATTCTATTCTATTCTATTCTATTCTGTTCTATTCTATTCTTCATCCCGATATTCTATTCTATTCTATTCTATTCCATTCCATTCCATTCCATTTTATTCCTTCCAATATTCTATTCTATTCTATTCTATTCTATTCTATTCTATTCTATTCTATTCTATTCTATTCTTCATCCCAATATTCTATTCTATTCTATTCTATTCTATTCTATTCTACTACATTCCTCATTCCAATATTCTTTTCTATTCTATTTCTATTCTACTCCATTCCATTCCTCATTCCAATATTCTATTCCATTCCATGGGATACGCAAGCAAACCACATCAGCAACGTTGCTAAGAAAACCATCCTAAACACATGCCAGTTGCCAAGGGCCTGCATTTTGATCACATGACTGTAGAAGTACTGCACAAGTCTCAAGTGCAAGGACTGGTTGCAAATCACTTTTCTCAGTCCTGTTGTAACTTCGAATGACGCTAAGCGGTTAAGGGGCCGCGATGGCTCAGAGGTCAAAGATGCTGAGCTTGTCAACTGTAAAAATGACAGCTCAGGTTCGAGACCCGAGCGCCGCGCGATGGGTGGGCTCCCATTCGTGCCCCAGCTTCTGCCCACCTAGTTTGAAGGCATGTAAACATGAGTAGATGAATAGGTACCACTTTGGTGGGAAGGTAATGATGTTCCGTGCACCTCAGCGTATAGTCATGCTGGCTATACAACCGAAAAGTCTTTGGACAACGCTGGCTCCCTCAGCTAGGAAATAAGACATGACCCCTGGAGTTGGACACAACTAGACAGGTAAAACGTTCACCTAAACAAATGGTTTTGAGAACTGCCTGTGTTCAGAAGGCATTACAAAAACATGGGCAGAAGCTTAAGCCCTGGGAAGGGCGTATTATGTAGAAGAGACTCAAGTTGGCCCTTGAGATATTATGGGATATAGAGGGAGGGGAGGGAAGACACAAGATGCTGTTACTAGATAGTGTAGTTAAGAGTGTTAATAAATGCAGTCAGCCTTGGTCTATCTTGCAGAGCTGACAGCATTGTGCTGGAGATATAAAGCAGAAAATAGAAAAAAAAAACAAGAATATTGCAGCCTGCAGGTCTTGTTTCTGTTGCAATCCACTCTCGATACTGAAGCCTGAAAATAAGTGTAAATAAATTACAGGTATTCCTGCTTGATAACAAAAAATACTGACAAGCAACTTTTTTTTTAACTTTTCTTTATTGAGTCTTTGTAAAACTTTAAATAGTCTTCTTTTTTTTCTATGACATTTCAGGGGAAAAAAATACTTTTTCCCATTGTGAAGATTGAAATATACACCTCAAAATTGACCTACAAATTGAAACCAAAAATAAACACTTGAACCAATGTCCTTTTTTTGGTAAACAAAATGTAAACAGTTCGTATATACAAATCTACAACCATTCCTTTGTGAAAGTGCTCTTTTGCAAATTAATAAAATGTCTGTTTTGAAATTCCAGTGAGATCATATTTTTGAGAGATAAAACTACTTTCTGGAAACCCACTGATTTTATTTTTCTTTCTTTTGTTTTATATACACATTTACATGTAACAAGTCTCCATTTCTGTCTTTGGGAGTAAAATATTTCCTACTGAAATGCTAAGTTACTAAGATAAAACCCCTTATCAGATTCTTGATAAAGCCCTATTTATACATTACAGCGTTTTACAAACATTTTGTTCCGTCTGATACCCTGAAGCAAACAGAGGGGAGACTGGTTTCATGACGAGTGGAAGTACAAAAAGTGTTCCAAAATATTAGGGCAAAACAGGATGCTCAGAGAAGGGAATGCCACATTTCATTTTCATTCACTGTTTTTAAAAATTAATAACAATAATAAAAAGTCTCGGGTTGCTTTTTAAAGGAATATAAAATGAAGCAGCACTTTGGTCAGCAGAGGCCTCTTTGTTCTCCAAAATGGCTATAAATTGAATTAGGTAGTGAGAAAGATCAATTTTGGGCTCAATTTGTGGTTGTAAGCCTAGGATTACCTGTATTGTTTGACCATACAGATAAGGTCAAGGTAAGGTTTCACTTCCTGAATTTGATGCCATGGATATGTAGCAGATCATTAAATGGTTAATGAGATTAACAGATTAACCGAGTTGGAAGGGACCTTGTAGTTCCAACCCCTTGCCCAAGCAGGAGACCCTACACTATTTCTGACAGATGGCAGTCCAGTCTCTTCTTGAAAGCCTCCAGTGATGAAGCTCCCAAAACTTCTGTTCCATTGGTTGATGGTTCTCATTGTCAGAAAATGTCTCCTTATTTCCAGGTTGAATCTCTCCTGGACCAGTTTCCATCTATTGTTCCTTGTCTGGCCTTCAGGTGCCTTGGAAAATAGCTTGACCCCCTCCTCTATGGGGCAGATGTTAAAGACCATTTAAGTCGTGTCCAACTCTTGGGTGACTTTATAGGCAAGTGCTCTCCATGCTACCCTCTCAGGCACAACTTCTTTCGGCTGTTGGATGTTCAACTTGGCATCAGGTTTGATGTGATCAAGCCAGCCGGTTCTTGGTTGCCCCATCTTCTTGTTCCACCAACCATTTCTAGCATCGTTGCCTTCTGCAATGAATTCGCACGCATGACATGGCCAAAGCAATTCAGATGCTGTCTTTTGATTTTAGCATCTAGTGATGTTTCTGGTTTTATACCATTGAACACCTCTTAGTTACTCTGGGTGTCCATGTTGTGGTTTGCCAGCAGCAGGTGGGGATGGCTGAGGTCTCGGAGAGCGAGGACTCAGATGAGGGGCCTGCGTGTGATGCAGGGATGGGGCCAGGACCATCAGGGAACGGAAGGCTGCCTTTGGAGATTGTGGAGGCTGGCAGCAATGATGAAGAGGACCCCGAGGAGCCTGTGCCCGGTGCATCTGCGCACAGGGCTGCTCGAAGGAAAGAGCAGCTGCAGCAGCACGGGCGACTCTGGAGCAGGGCTGCATAGTAATGGCCCCTCCCTTAAGAGATAAAAAAGCCAGCTGAGAAACTGCAGTTCTTTGCAGAAGGCAAAGAAGTTTGATACTCGAGCCTGGCGGATGTTAGAATATCTGAGTTGGTATTTGGAGATTCTGATTTATTGTTTAGGAACTTTTATCTGTTGTTCTTGGCAGCCTTGCAAAAACTTGGCCAGGCTCTTCCTTATCGAAGCTAATTAGTTGGAAGCAGCCTTTTGTCTGTGAAGAAACAGGGTTCGTAAATGAAACAGTAAAAGGATGCGCTGGTACCTTTGTCTTGTGTTTTCTCTCGGAACCAGGTTTGGGTCAGAACAGTCCATGAAGACTGTCCATACCGGCCTGCTGTGAAAGACTGTAACTCTTGACTTCAACTGAACGATGGTTAATCTCTTTTTGGTAGCAGCCGGGTACTTTTTGCCGCGATCTTTGACTCAACCACACCTAAAGGGGAGCTCCCAGGAAGTGCTTTCATTACAATGAGACTACAGGGTAGTCCTCGACTTACGACAGTTCATTTGGTGTCCATTTGAAGTTACAACGGCACTGAAAAAAAAACCGACTTATGACCATTTCCCACACTTATTACCGTGGTATGATTCCTATTGGTCACGATTTAAAACTTGGATGCTTGCCAACTGGCTCATATTTATGACGGTCGCAGTGTTCCGGAGTCATTGGTGAGCTTCAGATTCACTTAACAACCAGAGTTGCTGACTTAACAACGGCAGTGATTCACTCAACAAGAAAAGTCGTCAAATGGAGCAAAATCCACTGAACGCGTTTCTCACTTAGCAACAGAAATTCTGGGCTGAATTGTGATTGTAAATTAAGGACTATCTATTTTTTCCCCCCGTCATTATAGTTCTCTTGGGTGAAGCAAACTCCAAGCCAGAGTTCTCCAAACCTGCCAACTTTAAGCTTTGCTGGCTAGAGAATTCTGGGAGTTGAAGTCCACAAGTCTTAGAGTTGCCAAGTTTGAGGACCCCCTGCTCCAAGCAAACGTCCCTAATCAGGAAGCAAATCTGCCAAAAGTAAATGAATGATGGTTTCCAGCTTAAACATTGGGTCTGACTAGTGGTTCTCTTAATCCCTCATTTACAGCTCAGGAAGAAGCCGACCCTTCCTTCCGCCGTGGCTGTAAAATAGTGGCTTTCCTACAGTCTGGAAGCTGGCACCTTCTAAGGGAGTCCTCCTTTAGCAACTGCCTTCTTTAGCGACTGTCCACAGTTACAACATCGGCTATAGGAGAGCAATTCTCACACATTTGTGACCTTCATAGATTGGTAAAGCAAAGGAAAGCCGAAGTCAGATCATAAGCGCATCATGGGTTTTCTTTTTCTGCTTCATTTAACGACCGAACAGCCAGTCCCAACTGTGGTCGCAAAACGAAGATGACCTGTAGTGCACAAATGAAGTACTGCGTAGGTGCTTATATTTGTTTCCTCTCGAGATTCAATAACTTAGGAACTTAACAGACACATATCCCAAAATTGCTAAATCGTTGGCGGTAAGTGACTTTAGAAATTTAAAACATCCAGCTTTATCACATGGTTCCTAGAGAGGGCAGTCTAAAAATTCAACAATAAATAAAAGTTGGATACTGAACTGTAGAAAGGTATGGTTCACCAGGGAAACTGGCAGTAGAATGGCAAGAAGAAAAATCTTGTTGGATTGTCCCTTAGATTCTTATAGCTTTCCATAGTATATAATGGTTTCAGATTTCAGTTTCTTTAAATGGAAGGGCAAATGCTGTTTGAAACCTTCAAAAGCGAGGGGGACTGATGGAATCGACGTTTCAATAATGCAATTATTAAGATGCAACGGAGCAGCTAGTTTGGGATGACCTTAAAAAAAAAAAAAAATTAGCATTTATTGTATGTGGGGACCAGTAAGAAATCCTGAGCCTCTTGGAAAAGTATGCAAAGTTTAAAACCACCCTGGAAAAAGGGAAGAAGAAGGAGGACAAACCGTTTCCATCCTGTTGAAAAGAAAACGAGTGGATGTGACCACGGAATCACTCTTTTGACTTTAGATTTTTATACTGAAAGTATTTTTTCCTGGGGTCAAGCATACATCGTCATCCCTTCGTTATTAGTACAGACTTGAATCTGATAAAAATCTGCTTTTAAATTAGATTTGGGGTCTCCAAACTCAGCCAACTTTAAGACTTGTGGAGTTCAACTCCCAGAGTTCCCCAGCCAGCTTATGTTGAACTCCCCAAGTCTTAAAGTTGCCGAGTTTGGAGACTCCTGAATTAAATAATAAGAAAGATGAAACCATAAGAATAATATTTTGGAAATCAACTGTGTCTTTTGCAAGGATCAGTCATGCCCAACACAGGGAAGACACGGCTGCTTCCAGATGCTATTCCCATGTTCCTAAGCCCTCCAAAGCATCTTTGGCAGTGCGCAGGATTTGAATTTGAAGCACTCTGAACCTCTTTGCAGGGAGTTGCTTTTACAGACACCTAATTCTCCATCAAAGTGCCCGTTTGAAATATGGGAGGCCGCATCCTCCGGTTCCTGGGAAACCGAGAAGCATGGACAGGAACAACGGAAAGTGAAAAGATGCAATACTGAATATTTGTAGCCTTCCAAACGCTCAGCTCCTCCCTTCAATATGCAGATAGTCCTTGACTTAAAACCGTCCAAAGTTGCAACAGCAACTGAAAAAAAAGGTCACTTACCACGAATCTCTACACTCACAACCATCACAGCACCAATTATGTGGTTAAAATGTGGATGCTTGGCATGCATTTACGATGGTTGCAATGTCCTGAGATCATGTGATCGCCACTTGTGACCATCCCAGCCGGCTTACGACAAGCAAAGTCAGTGGGGAAAGCTGGATTAATTGAGCAACTGACTTAACGATGGCAGTGATTTGTTTAACAACCGGGGCAAAAAAGGTTGTAACATCACGTGCGACCCGTTTAAACAATTGCTTCGCCTAGCGATGGGAATTCTGGTCCTAATTGTGGTCATAAGCAAGGGTGGGATTCTACCGGTTTGGACCGGTTCTAGAGAATCGGTTGTTATGATTCTGCGCAGTTCGGAAAACTGGCAATCGTGCCCCTGGCTGGCCCCGCCCCTCTCCGCCCGCCCCTCCCCTCCTAGTCAGTCATTATTGTGCACGCAAGCCACACCCACCCAGTCACATGGACATGCCCATCTGGCCACGCCCACAGTACCGGTTGTTAAAAAAACTGAATCCCACCCCTGGTTGTAAGTCAAGGACTACCTATACGGAGAAGGGTGCACTCTGCCCCACAGCCCTGTTTAGATCGTTCTTTGCGAAGATTTGCAGTTGCTTCTAATGTTCAATCAGGTCTTTTACAGAAAAAATATTGGAGAAACTCAGCTCCGAGGAACAGAAGTGACGTCGGCTTCAACGTTTCAAACAGTGACAGATTTGATGAACGGATCAAAGCTTCCTATTACTCGGTCAGCAATACTCGTCAGCTAAATCGAGCTAGGTAAATACAGATTATGCAGAAGAGGAAATGGAGTCCTGAAAGTTCTGCGCTACATTAAAAAAAAAAAAGCAAAACGAAAGAAGTGTTTCTTTAGGGGAAAAAAAAAAAGGGGGGGGGGGGAATCCAGAGACAGCAATATTTCTGAAAAAGTATTGTTTTAGGCGCCGAAGTCCCCCTCAGTTCGCTCTTGGAATTTAAAAAAATTAAAAAAATATGAACTTGCTATAAATAATTTAAAATCTGTTATAATATAACTCTGGTCTGCTTTCTGCCAACGTTTCGCACCTTCTCGGCAAACAGTTTCTTTCGAAAGCTTATTTGAGGCATCGCTCCCTTCCCTGCATGTTTCTGCTCCATCCTCACCTGCCCTTTTCTGCCGCAAAATGCTTCAGATTCTACGTGGCTCATCACCTGCCTCAAGATGAAGGGAGACACCCCCCCCCCCCGGGGGCCCCGGGGGGTGGGTGGGGGGGGGGGTGTGTGTGTGTGTGTCTTTCATAATCCCGGGATTGTGTTCCCTGCAGGAATTCTCCTTTCGACAAAGGCCCAGGGCCTTTTCCTCGGTGGGGGAGGAAGCAGGGTCTTTCTGAAGGCGGCGGAAGAGGCGGCGGCGGCTGTTCACCTACGAAGCACCTTGTGACGCGCCCTGGTTCTGTCTAAAGATACGGCTCCCCAAATGTCTTTCGACACTCCATCACGCCGGTACTGGGGGGCCGATCACAGTTGTGGGTGTTCTTGACCTGGTTTGCGGTGAGACGGTCGTAAGCCATTTTGTATTCTCTGTCGAAAGCATCTGGAGGGGGAGGAAGAAAATACCTATAGCACGGGGCTTATACAGGCAGGTAGGGCAGATTAGATCGGTAGATAGGTAGGTAGGTTGGTGAGTCAGTAGGTGGGTCAGTGGATGGATAGATATGTAGATAGATATATGTTAGAGAAAAAGAAAGACAAATAGAGATAGAGATTGATGATAGATAGAGAAAAAGATAGAAAGACAGAGACACAGATAAGAGATTGATGATAGAGATAGATAGATAGATAGATAGAGAGAGAGAGAGAGAGAGAGATTAGAGAAAAAGAAAGACAGAGACACAGAGATTGATGATAGATATAGATAGATAGATGATAGATAGATAGATAGATAGATAGATAGATAGATAGATAGATAGAGAAAAAGATAGAAAGACAGAGACACAGATAAGAGATTGATGATAGAGATAGATAGATAGATAGATAGATAGATAGATAGATAGATAGATAAAAAGATAGAAAGACAGAGATTGATGATAGATTAGAGAAAAGATAGAAAGACAGAGACACAGATAAGAGATTGATGATATAGATAGATAGATAGATAGATAGATAGATAGATAGATAGATATAGAGAGATTAGAGAAAAAGAAAGACAGACACAGAGATTGATGATAGATATATATTTAGAGATAGATAGATAGATAGATAGATAGATAGATAGATAGATAGATATAGATATATAGATAGAGAAAAAGATAGAAAGACAGAGATTGATGATAGATTAGAGAAAAAGATAGAAAGACAGAGACACAGATAAGAGATTGATGATAGAGATGATAGATAGATAGATAGATAGATAGATAGATAGATAGATATAGAGAGATTAGAGAAAAAGAAAGAGACAGAGATTGATGATAGGTATATATATAGAGATAGATAGATAGATAGATAGATAGATATAGATAGATAGATAGATAGATAGAGAAAAAGATAGAAAGACAGAGATTGATGATAGATTAGAGAAAAAGATAGAAAGACAGAGACACAGATAAGAGATTGATGATAGATAGAGATAGATAGATTAGATAAAAAGATAAAAAGACAGAGACATAGATAGAGATTGCTAATAGGTAGGTAGGTAGGTGGATAGAAGATAGACAGACAAAGAGAGAAATGGAACAGATAGACAGATAATAAATGATGATAGGTAGCTAATAAACAAATATAAATAGATTAGAAATACATAGATACATAGATATGATATAGATAGATGATAGATGACAGATAGATGATAGAGGACTCTACACTTTTCAAATACAAATATGCTTTCTAAGCCCAGAAGCGAATGTTTGCAGTAAACATTTAAAGGATGCTTAGGAGAACATCACGGACCACTTACCTATATCGATATTATCTCTTCCAAGAGCAACGAGAGAGAGAAATAGTATCTCTCTATAAAGACTCCTGAAACAAAATAGACAAAAATAAAATGGGGAAGTTTTATTTTTTTAATCTGATTTAAATTCGACGAGGGTTTTTTTTCCAACCCCAGTAAGATACTGTTGATTTTTTTTTAACAAAATCATTTCATTTTCATTATCTTTTTCTTGCCCACGATGTCGGACCTGTTAGGCACAGAACACAAGGAACAGGAATTCCTCAACTTAGCAACAATTCAGTTTAGTGACTGTTCGAGATTACGAGGGCACTGAAAAAAGTGACTTATGACCATTTTGCACACTTTACAATCCCCATGGTCACATTATCCAAATTCAGACAACTTTGGCAACTGGTTCAAAGTTATGACGGTCGCAGTGTCCTGGAATCACGTGATCATCTTTTGCGACCTTCTAAGCGGAGTCAACAGAGGGAAGCCAGATTCACTTAACAACCGTGTTCCTAATTTAACAATGAACGTATTGCAGGGGTTCATTTAACAACCGTGGCAAGGCTCGTCATAAAATGGGGCAAAGCAAAACAAATTTCTCGTTTAGCAACAAAAGTTTGGGGCTCTCTTGTGGTTGTAAGTTGAGGACTGCCTGTTTAAGGTTTCTGGGCTCTCTAGAATTGCCTTCCAGGAGAAGCAGAATAAAGCGTGGCTTAAAATAGTAGCATATATACGAATAGATAATATAATTTACTCTACTCAAAAGTAAGCCAAGGGTAGAAGGTGGACGTAATTTAATTGTGTTATTAATATTAACAGTGCGTTAAAATATATTGTGAATTTAAAACTTTTAAGGATTAGAAATTGTGGAGATTTTGAGATATAATCCCCAATGTCAGCCTTCAATATTTCTTTCCTTTGCTTTGCATCTTTCGGCTGCCATAGTAATGGGGGAGGAGGAGAGGTAAAGAATTGTGGGAAGTGAGCGGAAAGCTTCGAGAATAAATTATAACTTGGGGGCGGGAAAGTTTCTTGTTTATGCTTCTTTGCTGTTCTATGCGCAGGCGCAACTCTTTATCAAAATAGGCCAAGGTCAACGGACAGATGCCTGTATCACCACCTGAAGAGGCCCACATGAGATTATATACAATTTTAATTGGATGGACAGTTTGAACTTTTGTGGGTGGGAACATTGCCTTCACTTTGTATATGTGATTTTCGCGCTCAATTCCTCAGAATCAGAATTCCTTTGATGCTACCACTTGATTTCCAGTAAAAGATATATTTTCTCTCATTAACGGAGTCTAAATATTTCTTTCTTGGATTTCGAATGGAGCACCAGCTGACATTATTCTGAATCTGAGGAATGGAGCGTGGTTGACTGAATTTTGCTAAGATTTGGTCTGATTAGTAGTTTTGGATATTTCTTAAGTTCATTCTTCATTGAAATGAGGAGCATCAAACGCCTGCGAATGGGTGGAGTTGCTCAAAATCAAGGGATCACCCTGCAACGGGCCACAAAAAGGAAGCAGGGGCAATAAGAAGCGAAGTCTTTTGTGACATGACAAATCCCATTAAGCACAGAACATATTTGGAAATGTTTAAAAAAATGCAGGCTATTTTTACAGGGAAGTGCTGGTGTAAAAATAGCTCGCGTTTTACAACGATTTCCAACCACGCTCCATTCTTACGGGATAAAATGCCATCTGGAAGCATCTTCTCGAGGAAAAGGTCAACCATTCAGAACTGCTGTGAGCTTGTATTAGAATAAATAAGGCTGGAAGGGACCTTGGAGGTCATCTAGTCTAACCCCTGCTTGAGCAGGATACTTTATACCATTCCAGACAAATGGCTGTCTAAGTAGTCTCTTCTTGAAAATCTCCACAGATGGAGCAGCCATAATTTCTGGAGGCAAGTTGTTCCACTGATCAATTGTTCTGTCAGGAAATGTCTCCTTAGTTCTAGGTTGCTTCTCTCCTTGATTAGTGTCCATCCGTTGCTTCTTGTCCTACACTCAGGTGCTTTGGAAAATAGGTTGACCCCCCTCCTCTCTGTGATAGGCCCTCAAGTACTGGAAGACATTGATCATGTCACCCTATTCCTTGTTCAAGATGGGCAAGCATACAATTTTTTTAAAAATAATAATAATAATAAAAAATGCAATTAGGGCTTTTTAATGACTAAGCCAGGCCTGTTTTACTGAATGGCTGCAGTCCTGCCAAACACCCAGCCCAAGGCAAGATGCTTCAACCCATCTCAATACAATGTGTGGGCCTAAACTAAGGAACCCAGTGGGACAAAAAATATTGCAACATAACTCAAAATCCAGATGCCCCAATTGTTTTGGAAGAGAAGGAACACGGAAGGAATGAAAAGAAGGGACGACACCATGGCAGTCTTTCAATATATCTAAGGGGCTGCCCCAAAGAAGAGGGAGTCAAGCTATTCTCCAAAGCACCTGAAGGCAGGACAAGAAGCAACGGATGGAAACTAATCAAGGAGAGAAGCAACCTAGGAGAAATTGCCTGACAAGGAGAACAATTAACCACTGGAATGCCTTGCCTGTTGTGGGTGCTCCATCACTGGCAGTTTTTAAGAAGAAATGGAATAAGTTTCTTGCTTTAGCAGGGGGTTGGACTAGAAGACCTCCAAGGTCCCTTCCAACTCTGTTATTCTGAATATTTGGTTCTCTGCTGACCTTCTCAACAAGTGAGTGACTAAATCTTCTGAGTTTTTCCTTTCCTGGAAGAAAGCAGCTTTTCAGACTTTGGTCTCACCTCTGCCTTTTGATTTGAGGTCCTTTGTTCAACCTCTCTAGGATTTGGCTCATTGGCCCGTAGACATCGTTCGTCTTAATACTCTTCACCATGCTTCTCAAAAGCTCCTGGTTAAAGAAAGTGTCGTCCTTTTGTAGTAAACGAACCACTGGGTATTTCTGAGCTGGAGAAAGACATTGAGAAAGTACAGTGAACAACAACAACAAAAAAAACCAAAACAAGACTACCAGCTGGTTTTAAAAATAAAAGTATATCGCATAAAGGCAATTTGGTGAAGCTGGGGTCCACAAATGAAGCGCGACAGGGAACAGCCAGCCATAAGGAAGACAGTCTGATCCACGGCATATATACTGATTTCAAGGCCAGGTCAAAACAGGTAGGAAGACTTTTTGGAAGTCATTTCCAAATTATTGCAAGAATTCCTAGGGTTTATCTCAAAGAAAATGAAACTAGGACGCAAAGTAGCTGGGGTGGGTGGGTGGGAATGTATACCTAGGCAGGATGCTTTGCTGTCAGCCCAAAAACAACCACATTAAAAAATATACACACACACACACTAGGAAAGGAGAGGGGTGTGTGGTTCAAAGTAAGTCAAGAAACAAATAATTTCTCAGCAACAGCGAGACGTAACACAACACTCACTCTCAAACACAAGGGTACGATTTTGACCTGCAAGACAAAAATGGCATGTTCAAACTCCTAATGCTTATGAGTTCCAGATTCTGACATAGTGGGGAAAAATCTTTTTTCCATAAAATGCTTAAGAATACCGGTAACTTACTCTGGGCATTCCACAGAATATAGAGAGGCTGTCCTGGATCTTTGTGCAGTTTCATATTGTCCCACAACATCTGAATCAGAACGTGCTTGCTATTCTCCAAGATGCAGTTCCTGGGTATCTGTAGAGGGAGAACACAAAATATTTTGAGTACAGTTACAAAAGCAAAATCACAAGGAACAGGAAATGCGAAGAAAAATGGAACTTAGCTCAGGATGAGAAGGGGCACTGGAAATTCCAGGAAATGGCAAAAATGAATGCTTTCAGTACAGGTAATCCTCGGCTTACAATACTTCATTTAGTGACTGTTCAAAGTTACAAGGGCACTAAAATGACTTATGACCATTTTTCACACTTACGACCGTTGAAGAATTCCCCATGATCAAAAGTCAACGGCTTGGCAACTGTATTAATAACAGTTGAAGTGCCCAAGGATCATATGTTCACCTTTTGGGACCTTCTGTCCAGCAGTCAGCAAGGATGCTGGATCTATAGTAATAACAACTGCAATCATTCACTTAACAATGGTGGCAAGAAAGGCCGTAAAATGAGGCAAAATTCACTTGACTGTCTCATTTAGCAACATAAATTTTGGGGCTCAATTGCGGTTGTAAGTTGAGGACTACCTGTACTTTAACATGACTGTAAAGCAGGCTGTACATTCTATATAGGAAGATTAAAAAAAAACAAAAAACACCCACGAGATAAAGCATCTAGTTTAGTTAAAATATTCTTGTAAGGTGTGAAAGACCAAGTCCACGCACAAAGATTCAATTAAACTGATTTATGGCTAAAAGTCGATGCACAGGAATCTTCTCAATTTAGGAACAGCACCTGTTTGAGTTAGATAAGGGTCAACCATACTCAAAAGGGGGTTGGAGTTGGTTGTTTTGTGACTACGCAGCGATTCCAGGCTGATACCCCTTTTCACCCTGCCCCCCAGGTTCTGCCACCCCTTTTCTCACCGTTCTTTAAATTACCATAATGACAACCACAAATTATCTGTTAGATTTCCCCAGACAAAATCAGTGCTTACGATTAGCGTAACGTTTTGCTTTCCATACCTTGGAGTTTTTATTGCAGTGTTCGGAGGACAGGATCAATCCAGGCAAGCTACTGGGTAAGTCCAGCCGCCGGAAATACCAGACCAGGTTCCAGAAGACAATGGGATGATGGTCCACAAACTCTGCCACGGTGATCACGTGATCTCCTTCGTTTTCCAGTAAGCTCTCAAGCTCTTTCCAGACGACGAGAGGACTTAGATAAGGAACGGTGATGGGCTCCGGGCTAGGCAGGTGCCACTCCAGCTGCACAGACTCCTGCGGTGCCCGAGAGAACATGAAGAACAAAGCTGAGTGAGAAATCCGTGTTGAATAATCCACGAGAAAGGGGGCCTTGGTTGGGGGACCCTCCTCTTGAATCTCCCAGGTGTTATGATTGTACATTCTGATTTTCTTGGGCTGTAGAACTTTCTGCTTTTGACTATTTTTAACTACAGAGAAGTTTGTCTCGTGGCATGCTGTATTCATAGTTAAATGGCACTTTAACGGTTTCTATTGTTCCTTCTCCTAAAGGAGCCCACAGCCCCGCTCAAAAAATAATGTAAAAGACAAGTATTGCTACCACAATTGATGACTCTAGGGATGGCCAGAATTTCTACAGCTGAGCCAGGTGGATGTTATGTGGGACATGCCCGATTTTCTGATTTTTTTTTTTTTGCTACGGTTGTTAAGTAAACCACTGCAGCTGTTAAGCAAATCATGTGATTGTTTAAGCAAATCCAGCTTCTCCCATTGATTTTGCTTTCCGAGGAGTGGGTTGGGAAGGTGGCAAAAAATGGCAAGCACATCTCCTTGGGATGATGCTGCAACCGTCACAAACACATGCTAGTTGCCAAGTGTCCAAATCACATGATTGTCAATTCGTAAAACATTCCTATGCCTGTTTTCAAGTTGCCATAAACAAGGGGGGAAGAGAATCTGTGAAAATCCTTTATTGGAGAACGTGATTTATGACACCCAGCCCGTGAACATGCTTCATTGGAGAATCTGATTTATGATACACCCAGGGGTGGGATTCTACAGGTTCGCCCCTATTCGCTAGAAGCGGTTGTTCTAAGCAGTTCGGAGAACCGATTGTTAGAAGAAATTACTGGCCTAATCCCGTAAGGAAGGCAGGAAGGAAACATTCTGGTGTTGCTTACAGAAACTGCCTCTCCGTTAACCCTTATTACATTCTTGGCGGGACTAGACTTCCTGTCTCTGGAACTTCTCTGGAGTTTTTTTTCCCCCTCCTTTGCTGGTACTTTGCTTGTGTGGAGTCACCATTCAAAGTTACAATGGCACTGAAAAAAGTGACTTATGACCATTTTCACACTTACGACTGTTGCAGCATCCTCACAGTCATGAGAGGCCAGGCGAGGAGATGCGTGCCTTGATGTGAGTGATATTGAGTTGGCCACACCCGGCCAATAACATGACCACCAAGCCATGTCCACCCAGTCACATGACCACCAAGCCCTGCCCACTACCTAAGCCACGCCCACAGAACCAGTTGTTAAAAATTGGACTCCCACCCCTGGATACACCCAGGGGAAAGGGGGAAACAGGGTCACAGGTGACTGAATTACATAGGCCAGAGTTGGCCTCATTTAGGTTAATGCCGGCATGTTGCTCCTCATAAATCTTTTGAGTTTTTTTGAAGCTTGAAGTTTTTTCAAGAGTCATGATTTAATTAAGGCTATCGCCGGAACCCTGACAATGATCACATGACCATGGGGAGGCTGTGATGACCCTAAAACATGTTTCACGGGGTCACTGTTACGTCAAGTGATGGCTAAATGAACGGTTGTAAGTTAAGGACTACCTGTAAAACGATCAACAATAAAATTATCAACCCAACAGCAGGAATGATTTATTTCCCACTGAGATCCCTCTGATCACTTTCAGCAAAGTGATTTTATAATTAAACCTTACAGGAGTTAAAATACTCAGCTAGAAAGAGGGAGACGTGTTAAAGTTCTGCCTTAGGCATGGAAGTCAATGGAGTGATTTTAGGCCAATCCCCAGGCGATGGTGAGTTCTAGTCCCATCTTAGCCATGAAAGCCAGCTGGGTGACTTTGGGTCCCTTCCTGTCTCTTAGCCCAACCCAACTTCCAGGGTTGTTATTGATTGATTGATTGATTGATTGAATTTATATTGCTACCTATTTGCACATGGCGACTCAAGGTGGCTTACAGAATATAAAACCTCCATATAAAAACAATAAAACTAATAAAAGAAGAGTCACATAATAAATTAACATAATAAAATCAACCCCCACAATTTTATTCTGGGGAAATTAAAAGGAAGAAGGTGTGTTGGATATATTCATCCGCTTGAATTATTTTAAAAAATGATAAAGGCAGGGTACAAACATACAGACATAGAAAAGTCTATAGCAATAGCACTTAAG